GCGATGTCAAAACATAACCCGACGCAATAAACCTATGGTAAATTCGTGGTGCCATTAAACAATAACATGTTATATCAAAATTACGAAAGTATCTTAACAGAGCAGTTGGGCAACCATATGGTTCAAAGATTCCTGTGGCATAGGTTACTAACTATCCGACAAAAAACTGATTAGCTAAGTACAGCCTTTAAGTACCCGAGATTCACAAGAATATTCCTGACAAAATGAGATAAAAATTCCGTTCACAAGAACCAAGTCAAGCGACAAACAAAGGCGAATAATCTGGGCCAAGTCAAAGAAGATAGACAAATGAAAAGGCAATGTTACTCAGGTAAGGGCCAATATGCGCGAAGAGGGCGAAAATATTCAAGTGCATACTAACACCATCAAATGACATGCTCAGGAAGGACTCTTAAATCATTTATTTCATTGCAACAGTGCCACAAGTCTTTAAATTTCTCGTCTAGCATTGCATTTTAAGCGGATATCCATCTTAAATGTTTTCGTCCTAAAACCTTCGCGCCCTCCTCCGAATTTCACTCTTCCGCGACCCGTGTGCCACAATAGATAAAGGATCAGTAATTGAGCATTTCTCGGCTAACTGTTTAGTACAGGGTCATTCCGACCTCTTTAGCATAGAGGTTTCGAAATCGGAAGCTCACATGTCCGCCAGATTTCAAGACTTGTCTGCGTATGTTCAAAGAAGGATAGGTTGCGAACGTAATGCAGCCCTCTGTCTAGTACGGACCTCATTTCTGTGCATGGTTACGCAGTTATTGTAAGACTCAGTTTATGAGCAGAGTCGAATTACCGATCACATTTTCAACGTTAAGTCCTGGTCTTGAGGAGGCGTGCAATTTGCTGGTGTATCCTAGTTCCTCTTGCATCCAGTTAGTAATCACGGCTAGGGCACGGCTGAAGCATGTGTGTACCTACTTTGAAGCAATGATTTGTACTATGAAGCGAAGTGGGCCGACGAGGTCACCTATTGGTTACAGCACATTATAAATTCGTGCTATGAATTTTGTACTGAGCCAACTTCCACTTTTCTGCTGCACTTTCGCAGCATATGGGGGGGGTTTTCTGAACTGCCAAGGGCTCTACACCATTCAACCGGCGGCTGCATTTTGTTTCTTTAATGGAGTGACGAGGATGCCGTTTGCGTTTGATTCAGGGAATCAAACGCCCTAAAATCAATGTGTTTCTTTCAAAATTTCCTCCATCTTTTTCGTTTCTCTATCACCAAATAAAGCCGTCGGTTTTATGTCAAGTTTGTTAGGCGCAATTCTGCCTTCAGTGGAGTTCTGCCAATCAAAGCATCTTATGAGTGCTGTGAAGGGCTCCTAGGCAGCATACTTGAGGTCCTTACGCAGACAATACTTCGAAGTTAGTTTGCGTAAGCTCTCACTATTTACTAGAAGTGATAAAGTGTAAAGCAGTATACTGTAAACATTACTGTTCGTATAGTTTGTTATTCGAAATATATATTATTATTATTGCTGGTAACCCCTCCTCCTGCCTGTTAAGATAGCACCCCGAGGTTATGATAAAGCATCCGTTGAAGAGCACTATTACTTCTCACAGGAAGGGGCACATACTGGTCCCAACTGTGCGCACTTCTGCGTGTCAGGATTCTTCTAGTTTTTGGAATTTTCGCTTAGGCTGAGGGTCGCTTCAAGGAGGCTGAGGCCGTTACATATTGGTTTTGAGTCGAAATCTAGAATGATGGAATATCCAAATGTTTTGTGGATGTCGTCATAAATTCCTCGGAGAGTACTTGAACCTCTGAATGCACACCAGCCTGGGCGTTTCTGCACGCTTATACTAACATTCGGCGATTAAAAGTTAGAAATCTGCCGAATACGGAAGTTATCCCGTCTTCATTGATGGCACCACGTATGGATAAGGCATTCCCATCGTTCTTTATAGACTCTGTTGTGTCTATATTTTCGACAATCAGCGACTGCAGTATATTCTCCCGGCACACCTGGAACTAGCCAGGTCTCAGTTAATGAGACCAATGCTGGATGTTCCGGAGATACTACGGCTCAAGCGGCCGACTCTTATCCGGTATGGGTCACGTGCCGATTATCAATCACGTTAGGAACGGGAAGCATCATGAATGCAAGAGGAGAGAAGTAAAGTCACTATTTGCCGGTGCTTCATCGGTGTCTTGGTGCACATCACATCTTTTCCCGCTTCTCGCTTGTGCCGCACGAAAGTGGTGGGTGTGCTACTATCCAGTAGAACCGCCAGGTATGGCAAGAGAATACGAGTTACGGGTTTCGGGACACCTAGCAAATAAGTGAGTGGATGCGGTGGTATGAGAGGTGGGCACTGGACAAAACTAGGTGGCATACGCATGCAATAAAGAATATGGTAGTTTTCAGGCTGGGGCCGGCTCACTTGTTAAAAACGTCTCTCACAATGGTCGACCCAAAGTTCTTCGGCCACAGCGTCAAGGTTATCGGTGGAGCAAAAATGCTTTCTGTTACTTCAGGTTCACCAAATCTTCCAGCAAGGCTGCTTTCCCTACCCCTTTCTTAAATTAAATCCACTTGACTTGACAAGTAAGTTGAGCAGAGGTATCATGATATTTCTGAAAGGTCGTATTCGGGTTGTCAAGATAGACCTACAACTTCATTATCCCTGAAGCGTAACCGGCGGAGTAATCCAAATCCGGCGAAGAGGTTATCTACAATGAACGTTTTAGATGTTATACACTTCTTACTAAGTACACACGCGAACACAGAAGGATTTCATGCTTTTCCGCCCATCTTTACTCGGCTTGATAACTGGCTGTTTGTTACGATGCACATCTGCAATGTTATGGGCTTACAGACGCCAGAGCAAGCAAGGTATGAACCACATGTCCCAAAGAGAAGCCCAAAACAGAAACCGTAACTGTTGACCTACGCTGAAGCTCACTTCAATACCTAAATCTGCTCGAAAAACATGGTGGTATTTGCAATCACCTTCAGCCTCTGTGCCAACCCTAGTCTCACTGTTGCTACAATTACCTTTAACCAACTATTCTGCCCTAGAAATTACGTCAAAGACGGACTAATGCGACCCGTTTACTTTATTGTATCCAAACGTTTATCAGGAAATTCAGCATTTTGTGAACCTATCTATCCACAATGGGCTGAAATCAGACAAAAAACATCTCTTGACGTGTTGGCAAATAAAATGCAGTTCCGCTTTTCAGAATTAGAGATGACACATCAAAAGACCTGCAAGACTGTTTTTGACGTCCATCATCATGGAGATCCTATGATGTTGTAAACGTTGCCATGCCATCTGCAGCTGACGTATTTCCAGAAGCAGAACTTTGCGATGTAGATGGCCAGATGTTATTTCAACTCATGTCAGACACAAAATGTCTGCTAACTGGCATCTTTCTTGCAGGTCTCTTTATATGGGAATGAATATTTGTCATTATTGATGTGTAGTGGTGGAAGTATCCACCGGTCCACAACTCCGTGTTAGAAATGAATTTCTAGACGTGACTATTCGTCGGAGATTTATGGACGTTCTGACGACGTTCACTCAGACGATCATACTTAGATGAGAGGAATAAACCAGACGGATTAGTATCCAAACCACTGCCTGGGATACTGTGAGCCGGTGGGATATCTTATCTTCAGTCTGTGTCGAGATGGTAGCAGAAGTCCCTATGACCTAGTTACTCCTCATAAGGGAAGATTGGGAAGCTGCCAACCATGTATCAGCACTTCTATTTAAAGTTTGATGCTAAGGGCCACCGTTCAGATCCCATACTCCAAATGGGATCCTATACGTGGTAGTCATCACACCAAAAATATATCCGCATCTAAGCACTTGAAAGATCTAGGGCGGGACATAAGTACTGAAAAGCCTTGACGGCCAAAATTCTGCAGTTCACTGTGGTCAGACCCATTGGGACTAGTCCACCTCCACCACTGTACACCGTTGTCCAAATGTTTACCTCACCTGTGAACATGAGGTAATGTGTTTTTACCCTTAACGACAGTTCGTTGACATTAACTTGGGAAGGAAGGCGGCTAAAAATTGTACCTTACGGTGGGTCACTCCTCACTATTTGGCCGCAGGCCCATTAGCTTTGACTTTTTGTCTTCTGCCACCAGGACGGTCATTGGTCCAGTCCATCACTTTCACGGAAACTAAAACCTTCAGATTCACTAAAAGCCACAAATGAGATTTTACTTTTACCGACAGTAAGATGGATAAATACTACATCCATTGGTGCATTCTCACTGGCGAATTCAGCCCAATCATCCGGTGCAGTGAGGGAGCTGATCTAGTAAGAACGAGCAGTGCTGAAATAATTTCGTTTGCTGACCAGACATCTATTTCTGTCGACATATCTGAGAACCATGCCTGGGATTATCCTTTCAAGAGTCATAATGACTGTGTGGGTCAGACTAACTGGACAACTGACTGTGACTGAATAACTAAGTCCTGGTTTCGTCAAGCAGTCCCTTAATAGCGCCAATCCAATCTTTTAGGGATTTTGACGGGTTGGATGACATATTAGATCACATCAAAATCTGTTAGGCAGTGATATCTGTTGGTACTGATGGTATCTGGAAATGTGGCCCACATGAACCAATGGACTTACTAGTGAAGAGGTTCTGGATTAGTTGAAGCACACTCTACCTTTCAGTGAGCCGCAGCCACGTCCTTAGAGTGTAGTTGAGGAAAGCTACCTGATATTCGCTTCAGCCTTTGTGATTATAGGAATGAAGAAGTTAGCAGTGACCTGTCTCTCCATAGTTCCAACGGTCCAAAGTGGCATATCCGAGGTGGTCACATCTGGATAGTGATCATGTCATAGACCCTAAACTTGAACTATAGTACAATATGACAACTGTTGACCAGATGAGTCATTTGTGAAAGCCATATCCAATTGCGAAGAGTCATAGGTATGAGCAAGGTATGAAGTCCAGCGATATTTGACTGAATTCACTTGATTTCTCCTAGTCACAGAGGCTTGTTTTATTACACTATAATAGCTGAACTATGAAATGGTTCGGGTTCAACCTATGGAGCAAATGTGATCAGTTGTAGCTTGAGAGAGATGAGTAGGGAGTCTTTTGTCACTCTGGCTACGAATGATGAATATTGTGTGGGGGCACTGGTTTTGGGAGCCTCATTAAGGCAGTCACAAACCTCAAAAGAGCTAACGATCCTTATAACTTCAGCGCTTTCACCTCAAATGAGGTCAGTTACTATTGCAAATGTTTCTTTTATTCTGAAAGGTCACTTCTTTCCTTAAACTATGATAATATTATCGAAGTACAGCCCGTTTGCCCAATGGCTGGAATAAATCTTTACTTGGAGACAGAAACGAGCTTAATGCAACGTTTACAAAAATCTGTGCTTGGAGTCTTACTGAATTTGAAAAACTGGTTTTCATGGATGCAGATACTTTGGTGAGAAGTAAATTCATTTGTTTTTGTGATTAAAAAGTGATCTATGTGTCTGGATATTTATGCCCATTGAAGGAAGAGTGGAAATTTTCAGTATATATATTTTAGGAAATATCTCTCTTGTTACTCTTATCTTCTACCTTGCTCCTAAGATTTTTGCATATCTTGTATATTCAGTCAACAAGCTGATTTCATTAAACACTGCTTCAGTTTCAGCACTCTTATGCGCAGTTGAGACGAGCTATTCAAGTTTTCAAAGGATAATAAGATTTTGACTGATCTGAAGGCAGTAGAAACTAATGGTCAGTGGCCAGACAGACAGACAGACAACGTAGAACCTTTCAGGCAGTTCTGTTGGCTCAAGTTGCCATACCGCACAGTAGTACATAAAGAGCAGGTAGAAAGAAAAGCAGTGAAATCAAGGAAGATAAAGTTGTTTTAGGGGTAAAGAATCTGAAGATAAAGGTTAGTGTGAATATTCCAACTTTAGAAAATGTCATTGGATACATACATCTGCTCTATTGTCATCGATTTTCAGCCATTTCACCAAGAGTCAGCCTTCAAACACTGATTCCTGACATCTGGGGACCCCACCTAGGCAGCCTGTATCTCCCAATACGGTTCAGACCAACAGTAAGAAACTTCATGGACTGGTGTCAGATCTTGGTCTGGGTACACTGAAAACTCTTCCAATCCAACTCACCTTGGCATAGCACGTTGAGGCAGGTGAGGGCTCGGTGTACTCAGTACACATTCAACCGTCTCAGTCGATGAAGGTTTATAACCTCATCAGTCGACTTGCCTCTCTCGCCTGGTACTCCTGGCTTAACCTCAACATTGCTCACATGGTAATTCCACCATTTGGGAGCAGTACTCCAAAGACACCTGTGTTTGAAGACCTGTAACCGCTTCATATCTTCTACTTTTGGCCGCCACGTCTCACGACCGTATAACAAGACTGTACGGACTGCAGTGCAGTATAGTCATACTTTGATAGATAGTTAGACATCCCATCAATCGGCGCCACAGATGTAGTGGGTTGCCAAACACCAAGCGGGCCTTCTGTATCTCCCTCCTAGGATTTCGTCAGCAGCCACCCTGTTCGAGCTGATGCAACTCCTGAAGTAAGTGAGGTGGTCGACATACTCCACCTCTTCACTCCCCTATCATTAAGCTGGGAGTACTTGGAGCAGACCAGACCTGGAGCATCATCTTACATTCGACAGGCGCGAAGCACATGCTAAATATACACAAGCTTCTGCTCAACGCATTCAGAAGACTGCATTTTGTCTGTGTCTTCAAACAGAGGAACAATATCGTCTACATACTCGAAGTCGATCAGATGATCTCCAGAGAGGGGTTCATTAACTGTGAAGTAAGACGTTTGCATAGGGTTATGCTGATTATTACGTCTATGACGAGGCTAAATAGGGATAGCTACATAGGAAGTCCCTGGCGGACACCACTAATTGTCGTCAATTCTGAAGATAACGCTCCATGATCCCCCACAAGGCTGAGTGACTTCGAGTAGAGATCTTCGGTTAGTATTATATACTTGGTCAGTACCCGGTTTACTGTCACCGACTCTTACATTACTTCACATATGACATAGTCAGATGCCGTCTTCGGGTCGAGAAATATCCCAAGTGTCGGTCACTGTCAGGTATGTATGCCTGGCTTCCAGAATATGTCGAGCTCCACTTAGGCGTCGGATAACTATGGACCCTAGGATCTTGGACACAGTGTTAGTCTGCCTAATTCCCTTATGGTTGTCGCTCGCATATTCCTCCTCCTTATACACTGGGATGATCGACGAAGCACACCAGTCTGACGGCACCACTTCTGATCCTCATAAACTACCTAGTACCTCTATCACTTCAATTAGCAATTTCCTACCTCAATCCTTGGAAACTTCAGGTTGCAAGCTGATGCCTTCTCCATCTCTCTCGCTTTCGCTTCCAACCACTCCTTGCGATCAACGCTAAGACTCTTTATCAACTTACCTTTCAGTCTCTTTCGTTCTTCTTTGTAGTCAGAGCCAGCTGGAACCACACTTCTTGCATCAATCAGTTTGGATGACGTTGAGGAAATCCAGCAATGTTAGCCTTCAGATATAGGTTTCTAATTACCTTCACCGCCGTTTCTACAGTAGACCTAATACTATTCCAGGTTTCTTCAGGATGGGCTTTGCTGTCACTTCCATAAAAATGCTTAGCTAACTCCTTTCTTAATGCCTACTTGGTATTTTCATCTACTAATCGAGCACATATCGGCCTGATTGACTCCTGTTTCCTGTGGCCAGTAAGGCGCAGACATACACGGGCCCGTACTAGCGTCTGATTGACGTTCGAACGGGTACTCCAGAAACAGCGGGAATCCTTCACGGATCCCCTCCAAAGGTAGTTTATAGCAATGTGATCTGTCTTTTTCCATCGTTGGTTTGAGGTTTGGGTATGCCATATGAGATAGTGTCTCTCCGTTCATGGCTGTAGGTTTGTTGGCATGAAATTCCGTAAATACCCCCAAGTTGCTTCTCCTATTGGCTCAGCTTCCCTACTTGAGCCTTAAAGTCACCTGTCATCATGACTACATCTGAACGCTTTGCTTTCTGCTGCAAAGTTGACAGATTCTCATACAATTCATTGTTTGTGTCATCCGAAGTACAGTCTTTGGGTGCGAAGGCGGAGATTATGAATGGACATCGCCTAATCTCACGATCCTTCTCCTTAGTCCCTAAAGATCCATTCAACCGAGTAGCACATAGTCGACTGTTTACTCATATTCAGTCAAGAAGTTCACTTTATGCCCTGCAATTCAATGCTGTGCTCATGCCAGTGAGTCCACGAGAGCTAGTCACTGGGTCTCTGGATACTATTAAGGTCAGTTTTGAAGATTCACTACTACAGCCAGGTGAGGTGAATTTAATAACTACACTCGGGTCCTATATAAGTGTTCCGGAGGCACAGCATATATCCATGGCTAGAGATTTCAGAGTTTTGATGTGCATTGTTTGCTGTCTTACTGGGTATAGAGTTCTGACGTCGAAAGTAGACTAGGGATAAGGTTTCGATGGCTTTAATAGTTGGCAATGATTGCAGAGGGCGGCAAGATAAGATGTAACATGCTTGATCTTCGTATCAGGAGGTGACGGGAAAGAAGGAGACAGAGCTGAGGGTGGATAAGTTATTTAATTGGGTCTTGTGTGTGGGCAGATGATACTTCCTGGCTGCCCACACTGCGGAAGGCTGTTTCTTCTTAAGGTACCTGAACGAGAAAAATATTTGTGTGACCGCAGAGCAAATACGACATCTGCTTGAGACCGGATATACACGGCCTTTCGGCAATTTTTAGATCCTAGTTTTTTGCTTTTGAACCTGACTATAAATCCCTGTTTCAGATATCGAGATTCGAAGGGGTGCTGTATGCTATTTTGGGGGCTGACCTTTTCTAACCGTATCCCCTTTCCGTTGGGAAAGCAGCATAGGCGTGGCATTCCTGGCCATCTGAGGAAGACACCTTACTGCTCTCACATTCAATCCAGCTAGCAGCAATACGATTTCGCCCTCAGACTGCCACCATAGTGTAATAATTTACACTACAACGGTAAGTGCTTCCCGTCCTACCATTATCCAGAAAACCTTACTGGTATGATAGGACTTCGAAGAAACAAGCTCGCTGGGTCGTTTTTGTATGCGTTCCCTACCACCGCGTCAAAAAAGCAGCTAACGGTCGGTCATTAGGGCCGATATGTAGCTTGGCTGGGAATTTCTTCGTGTTAATAAAGGTGTTTGAAGTTTAGAGATATCCGACTCAGCGGGAAAGGAATGAATTTATACTATTTCTACTTAGCACATACACCTCAATGACTAGTCTAGTTTCAATTTTATAAATAAGGAAACAACTTTCATACAATCATGCCGTAATTTTGCTTCAGTTTAGTCAGTTTGATCTACCCTGGTTTGGCGGAATCAAGATATATTCTCCGCCTGTCAATCCATTTGAGAAAAGAATAAATCATTCCAAATTTCGGCCATAATGTGAGGAGGGACTTGAGAGCTACACATAAGTGTAAAGGACTCTACAAAACCAGTACACATGAAAGCTTATATAAGCGCATCCGGAAGCCCTGCTCGTTCTAGACCGCTCATTAAAACTTTCGAAGAGTAATGGTTGTCATAATTTCAAGCATAATACGGTCGAGAGAAATTCTTGATAAGGTCATCATAATGGATTGATATGAAGACAAACAGACAAAATTGACGTTGAACGCCGCACACAAGTCCATCGGTTTAAGTTGCGTCGTTTCATAGGAGCATATAGAGGACACTTAAGTGGTAGAAGAGTGAGACTGACATAGATCAGTGTATAAGATGAGAATGAAGGAATAAATCAAGGTATCCCAAAATACTCGAACCCTAAAAGACGTCAAAGGGTAAATATACGTGTGCCATTTTGACCGACATTCAGGCATTTCACCAAAATTTTCCAACAATTATTACATATTGTCTCGAGAACCCACTTTTCGGGACTTACACCGACAGTCAGGGACTTCATGTACCTGTGGCACGTCTTTGTCCGATCCCCCTGAGTTTTCTTCTGATCCAATCCTACTTCAGTTAGTGCTGCAAATCAGGGTAAGTAGTAGCTTGGCATATGGGGCAAAGCTTTGAGTCACTTCAACCGGTGAAGGTTCAAAACCTCATCCGTTGACTTGTCTTTTTAACCTTAACCTTTTCGCCTTAACTCGACACCGCTTACATGATTATTCCGTCATACATTAGCAATGGCGCAATAATATATTTGATCAAAACCTATGATCTTTTCATGTCTTCTACTTTTGAATAGTTAAGGACTTTGGTTTCCGTATTCAATACAATTTAACTACCATCATCATCAATATCAACCTAGGACCAGGTATTACTGCGTAGCGGTCCGACTTGCCACATCTCATATCAGTACATCAAGTTAAAAGGCAGTCAGCCACAAGATGAAGATAAGAGAAT